TCTAAAAGCGAAAAATTCTCTCATTGTACATTTTACACATTTGTTGTTTGTTGTAGATGTAACACCTCTATGAAGAGTATCAACGCTGTAACCATCATCCCCATATGGAAATAGTAGCGGATATTGCAGAGGATGGTAAGAAGGATGCAATTCACTTATACGTTGTAGAAATCTTGATTTAGTTTCAAAAAAGATATCTCTATTTTCAACTGAATCAGAAATGTCTCCTATAATTAAAGTAGCAACCTCAGAAGCAGTTGGTAGGTTATATGTCCTTCCATCTCGATCCCTTCTCCCGATGATTACTAACTTCATATCAACTTGACGATTTTTTTTTAAAAGTATCTCTTACCATCCTATAAGAGCTAACATCACCTTCAAGTCTTCAATAATATCATTATCGATTGATGTAGATTGATGCTTTTACCCACTATAAAAATTGAATATATACATAATATTAGGAAAAAAATATTAAAATTAAGTGTGAATAAGAAGGTTGAAAATATACCCAAAACATCTCTATTTATTTGAATTTTTGTTGTCGGTATAATAAATGTAAAACTATGAGAATTTTGGTTGCGATCCATTTGGTCATAAAAAGGCTTCCAATACTATGATAATTTTGACCACCAAGTCTGAAAATGTATGGAGCATTTCCTCTATTGATTGAAGAATCAATTTTACCACCCATCGACGTAAAAGAAAACATTGAATTGTAACGTCGAATGTTTTTCATAAAGTTTTTGCTTTTAGAATTTGTTCCTCGAAACATTCTTTCATAATTTGGCAGTGCGTTCTTTAAATATGGAAGTTGAACCTTGCCATAACCACAACATAATAAATAATCTTTGTTCCCTCTTTGTTTTCCTCTAATGGATTCATTTTTCCATAAATTTTGCAGGACATGTTTAACATACAGCAATTTGATCACCATGATCAAAATATTTTGTAATAAAATAAAGCGGTATAAGTAAAATATTAAATTACATAAATATATATAATACGATATTTGAGTTATAAGAGAAGAAGAAAATGGGTATATATATGGATTATCTTTGGAAATACCAATTATTTTGTTTTCAGTAATGACTTCATGCATATTTTCTACATCTTCTGTCAAACCAATAAATGGAATAGAAGATAAATGTTCCAACTTCCTTTTCAATTTATGACAACCTGGATTTAACTTGATTGGCGATGAAGAAACAGTTATTGTAGATGTATTTCTCGAGGTCATACCATTACAAAGTCCAGAGTAATGTATTTTATTTTGTAACGCTGAAGTTGCGTGGTTATTGAAACTAATATTAGCTGGAAAAAAAAAAGTGATGATATATAAATATATTAGAAAGTGGTTGAAAGAAAATTTTTAAAAGCAATATTATTACCATTTGAAACGTTAGATAAGGGAGTTCTAACATTTATATATGAAGAAGAAGATTGTAGGGGTGTATTTTGGTTTCCACGAGATTCATAGGAACGTGCATTTTCTTTTCCATGCAGAACGTTTTTTGTTTGATCTGTAAAAAAACAAATTGTTATAAAAATTGAATACATTTATTATAAAATAAAATTACCATGTAACTTTTATATTGGTCCAGGGAAATAATATAAAATTATGATAATGCATGTATTTTTATATAGGTCAATGAATAGTAAAAATTTTAAAAAAAATAAAAATAAAATAGTTACAATTATCCATGTTTGTCAAGACATGTGGTGCGCTTCGATTTTGAACACTGAATTTTGTACTCCTTTTGTTTGATCTCTTATTATCCAAATATAATTTTCTGTGTCTTCTTTTCTCTCTTACTTGCAAGTAGTACATATTATCATTTGTTACTGTATAACTAATAAAATGTATATGATATAAAATGTATATGAGTGTAAATAATCGTGTTTGATATAAAACTCAAAATAATAAATTATTGAAATTTGGATAACATTAAATTTTTCATAATAATATATAATGACTAATAATAATAGTGAAGAAAGAAATGTACCATTGTAACCGTTGTTAACAAATGTTGTAGATGATGAATCTTCCGTGGATGATGAAATAGGCAAATTTTTTGGAAGATAATATAATTATTGTTAACAAATATTGTAGATTATTGTTAGAATAATACATGTTATTGTTTGATTATGAAATTGCTTTAGGAAGATAATATAATTATTTAAATATGAATTGAATATTATATATTGAAAATATATAGAATTTGAAAAAGTTTGTATTTATATAACATGAAAATAGTTTTTGTTAAAATATGTTATTAAAAGATATATTTTGAGGTTAAAAATTCCATAACAATAATATAAAAAAATGTTAAAGAAAAAACATATCATTGTAAGCTGAATCAATAGCATTTGTAGCGGTTGAAGTTTGCCGGTTAGATGTAGTAGACAAATTAATGTTATTTCTATTATCTAAATAAAAACAATTTAATTTTCTGCTCTTTTTAGAATTAGACGATTTCATGATATATTTGCAATCTGAACAAATAACAACAATTACTTTATAAATTAATAGGATAGGCAACAGAGAGTTTGATTAAATTAAAGCAAAATAACGTGTAAAATAAAATTATGATAATATTTGACATATAAGTCTAATTTGTTTTATCATATTGTGTAAGTCAATCAAAATTTGAAATATGATTTCATCTAAATAGTTTTTATTTTTTTTATGTACCCTAATATAAAAACTATATGTATTGTATATTTATATAACATTGATAAAATAAAATATCAACATATACTACTTATATTAAAAAACGTATGAGTAAACAAAATGTATATAAAATTTTGTTAATGATTCACAAATTAATATATAAGTTAGTTGTCAATTATTATGAAACAGGGACCATTTACACAATTTTACTTTAACATGGAGCATAAATTGGAGTTTTCTATAGTTAGACGACAAAGCAAACGTTTAGGTTTGTCTGAAACACAAACACATATTACAATCAGACTTCTATGTATAGATAGAAATGAAGAACGAAAACAAATATTTGGGTTAAAGCTTATTCGTTTGTTGTGTCGATCTTTCAAAGTCAGACGGTCAAAGATGTGTTAAGGTTAGAAAAATGGGGATTGGAGCCGAAGGTGTATTACAAATCGACTTCAACATTAAATGGAAGTTTCGATTTTTCAGAAGTAAGCATTTGGTTACCTGTAATTGTCAATTAGAGAGGTGTAATCGTCAATTGGAGAGGACAACATGAATCAAGAACGAAAAAAAGAAACTACTATCGGCAAAGCAAATACGGTCCAGAGGAAAACACTTAAAATAAGGTTAGGATTTTATAATCTTTTAATTTAGGTTTAAACTTTTCATTTTGAAATTCTGTGGAGGGAACGATAATCTGTTTTGAAATTTTGGAACTATTAAAACAAACTGTTGTTAATCAACCATGAATCTCGGTGAAATTAATAAAAAATGAATGTTTTTTTCGTATATCTTGTTCACTGTGAGCTTGTGAACTGATAATATTAACAAATTAACTTTTTAACTAAATTAAATATGAAAGTCTTATATTAATCTTTTGTAAAACTCCATTAATTTTCCAGAATATGAAATTACAAAAATCTAAGAACAGCATACAATGCATCCATAATCAAATTCCACAATTAATTGATTAAAGACTATCTTAATAGTGTGAGGGGCATTTTAGGCATTTTATAAGATTAAAAAGAAAACATATACTTTTTTTACTTCCACAAATCGTGATATAGGTACATTGCTATTTAATTGATTTTGATTGATAGAAATAGACAGTGTTATCATTTGTTTAAGTGAGTTATCAGTAAATAAGTTATTTAAATAAAGTGATAATGTAAATTGTACAATTGATTGATTAAAGACTATCTTTATAGTGGGAATGGCAATTTAGGTATTGTATAATATTTAAGTTTCAAATTGAACAATCCTTGATATAAGTGTAAAAATAAAGTTCTTTAGGCAGATAATACATTGCTATAATCAGCAACGAATAAAGTACATATAGGAACTTGAATTAGAGACATGAATTTATCAAGTAGAAGAACCTTAAACATATTGCCGAATATTCCATCAAAACCTTAAACTAAAGTTAAATGATCAAATCCAAAAAGAAATGATGCAACAAAAATAATAAACCTGGAAAGAAATGATGCAACTTACTATGCTACAAAGATAATATACCTGGAAAGTTACATGAGCGTTAACATAAAATATATAAACACATCATATATACCATTAAACAAAATGTAAGTTTCAAAGTTCTTAGATTAAAAAAGAAAATGAGTGGGAGGGGCATTTTAGGCATTTTATAAGATTAAAACAGAAAACATATACTTTTTTTAATTCCACAAATCATGATATAGGTACATTGATATTTAATTCATTTTGATTGATAGAAATAGGCAATGTTATCATTTGTTTAAGTGAGTTATCAGTAAATAAGTTAGTTAAATACAAAGATAATGTAACTTCCACAATTGATTGATTAAAGACTATGTTGATGGTGAGAATGGCAATTTAGGCATTGTATAATATTTAAGTTTCAAATTGAACAATCCATGATATAATTGTAAAAATAAAGTTCTTTAGGCAGATAGCACATTGCTATAAGCAGCAACGAATAAAAGTACATATAGGAACTTGAATTGGAGATATGAATTTATCAAGTAGAAGAACCTTAAAAAACATTGACAAATATTCCATCAAAACCTTAAACTAAAGTTAAATGATCAAATCAAGAAAGAAATGATGCAACAAAAATAATAAACCTAGAAAGAAATGATGCAACTTACTATGCTCCAAAACTAATAAATGTGGAAAGTTACATGATCATTAACATAAAATATATAAACACATCATATATATCATTAAACAAAATATGAGTTTCAAAGTGCTTAGAAACTATGATGTTCTATTCCATCCAATATACAAAACATAATTAACATATGTCTTAACCATGAAATATCTAATTTCATCAAAAATAGATAACAGTTGTCTACACTAAGTTTTTCCATGAAATAACATTCTCCTTGGCCATGTCCATTGCATCTTCCATCTTTCCTCTTGGAATGGTCATGTTTAGCATATGCTTGATGAATGTTATTCCATCATCAACTGTTGGCATTAGGTGTTCTGTTACAAAGAGATGAATGAGCTTCTCAACTCTTTTGGCTAGTGAGTTCATCATGAAGTGGGGGAAATTGGTTGGCACATATACTAGCTTGTGTTCTACATAGAGATGTTCAATCTCACAAAATTGATGTGCCCTAACTATTGCATTGAAATTTCGCAAAGCATCATCATCTAAAATTGGAATCATCGACAAACCACAATGTTTTTCAGTTGGCATATGATACCAGTATCCTATAGTTGTATAACCCAAACGTTTAGAAAAACTACCAAGCAATTCCATGTCAAGAAAATCGATGTTGACAAAAGTAATAAAGTCAACTTTAGTCACTTCATAAGCTTTACCTGGATAATCGGTGAAATATCTGCCATGGACAACTCTAATGGTGAACCTCTTGTCGTTTCCTTTGCCATACTCTACAATAGGTGGGTTTTTTGGTTGCTCACTGCTTACATTCTATAGTTGATACCTCGGCTTTGCCCATTGATCAACATTCCTGTTTGTTGTCATTGTTCGCCAGATTTTTTTTCACAGAGGATGAGCAATTCGAAGTTATCGTTGGATGGTGATGAAAATGCAAGAATGAGCATTTTAATATACGGGGAGGGTTTAAATGGATGATCAATCGGAGATGAAGAGACATCGACCCACATCATAAACACATCAGTTCCGACTACGTACAGGCTACAACGGGGGTTTATGTTGACCGAAGGCAGGTATAATGATTAATTATATTTAGTTATTATCCTTTTGTGTAAGTCGGTCAAAGTTTTAAAACATGATTTCATTTAAATATTTTAAATTTTTTTTATGTACCCTAATATAAAAAGTATATTTATTGTATATTTATATAACATTGATAAACTAAAATATCTACAAATAATATTTATATTAAAAAAACGTATCAGTAAACAAAATGTAAATAGGGACAATTTACGCAAATTGATCTTAACATTGACCATTTCTATGTATAGATAGAAATGAAGAACGAAAACAAATATTTGGGTTAAAGCTAATTCGTTTGTTGTGTCGAGACATGAAATTATAAAGTAGAAGAACCTTAAAACTAAATTAGGAACTTGAAGAACGTATTTAGAAACGTTATGTACAAATTAAGAATAAAACTTTAAGGGCAATTTTGGGGATCCGGATTCCACCATTGATACTATTGGACTCGCATTCTTTTCAGAAATATTGGTTATCGTAAGTTCAAATTCTGACATTTAAAAAAAAATATAACATGAAAAAGAAAGAAAAAGTTGTAAATTTGACAATTACAATCAGCAAACAAAAAAACAGTTAAATAAATAACATTAAAAAATTGAAACAGTAAAAAAGAAAGTACATTTCTATTTAACTGATTTTGATCGATAGAAGTGTTGGGTTTTAGCCATAAGAACTTTCCTATGTGCGCATGCAAAACCCTATTGCTTGGATCTAGGCTTTTGAATCCAAGACTTCTAATAGCTAACATTAAATCAGATCTAGAATCATACCTTTGAGTTCCTTGTTGATCTTCTTGTCTTGGAGCTTCTAGAGTCACAATTGTCACTCCTCTAATGGCTTACAAACACCAATAGCAAGCAAGATGATTTAGGAGAGAGGAGAGGGGATGGAATTCGACCAGAGGTTCCTTGCTTTAGGTTCTACAATGTTGTACACGAATTCCACACCCCAAGGGCCTATTTATACCTTTAGACTCTTTAAGGGTTTCACCCTAAACCCTAATTGGATAATCTTCTCTTAAGGCTATCCAAATCCATTCCATAGATAACCCTATGGACTATTTTGAGCTATCCTAAAGCTCTTAGAAACCGTCCAAAGTCAACCCTAATGGATTTATAGTCCAAAGTCTAACTATCAAACAATTTACAGTTTATACCCTCTTATTTAATTAATCTCTTTAAGTCACCAAATTAATACCAATTAATTTATGACTTATATTAATCAAATAGCTAAATATTATTCCTTATAATATTTACTCTCTCTTAACAAATCATCCTTCAAGTTGCTATGGTGAAGGCAACCCAAAAGGACCATGCACCACCGAATATAGTTATAGCCTTAGACACTATTCCAACAGTCTCCCACTTGGATAAGTCTAGTAACTATACAAGTACAATACGGTTTGCAATCGTAGCTCTCAAAGACGCTGTCAACTCTGATCTAATCAATCTTGTCCTTTAGATAAGGGATCGTACAGTCCTCTGTTAGATATCATGCTGACAATCCTATGGAATGGTTAGTCTAGCATTTAGATTTCTCGATCTTCGATTTATTTGACATAGAACTTAATCGAACACATCAATTCAGTTCTGACCGGGCCCGGCACATAAGTCAAATCAAATCATCGAGTGGCCAAGATATCTCTTCTACCCTCTTAGGATAAAATTTACAGATAAACTTCGACTTATATGCATTTACTTATTCATTAACCAACTATACACAACAATGCGTTTTATAACATCAAGTTACTGATGCGTTTTCGCATTATCAATGCACAATCAATTAACAAATAATAAACCATATATCTAGGTTTTAAGACCATATGATATTATCGTCTTGCGATCACCTTTTATATCGTATTCCATAAGGTGATTCCAGCAAGCGCGGGTTTATTCCAATGCTCAAAACCAGTTCATAAGCACTCATGAACGTTGCAGCAACTCTTGCTATGTCTAACACCATTTAGACACTCTACACACCAATTCACGACAATCTTCATTCATATCTACTCCCAACATATGAACGATTGTGGACCATTTGAATAATTCGATTTTCCTAATAAACTCAATTATTCTGGAAGTCAAAACATGCAAAGTGAAACAATAGTTAAACAACTAACATGTGATAGTAACTTTACTCATAAATAAAACTTCTTTATTTAATCATCAAATGTTAATTACATTTATCTATTATACGTTTCTAATACTATCTAATCTATGCTAATATCATCCTTCAGCCCAATACTCCTAGCATGCTGTAAGTGCTTAACCCTACTCAGTCCCTTCGTAAGCGGATCTGCTGGGTTATCTTCTGATGATATCCTCTTCACTACGAGTTGTCCTTCTTCTACACGATGTCTAATGAAGTGATATTTTCTGTCGATATGTCGAGATCTACCATGATCCCTCGGTTCCTTGGTCAAGGCAACCGCACCTTCGTTATCACAGAAAATCTCCATGGGCTCCTTTATGGCCGGCACAACTCCAAGATCACCGATGAAGTTCTTCAGCCATATTGCCTCCTTCGACGCTTCGCTCGCTGCGATGTACTCTGATTCGCACGTTGAATCAGCTACGGTTTCCTGCTTGGAACTTTTCCATGTCACTGCTCCTCCATTTAGGGTAAAGACCCAGCCCGACTGCGAACGGTAGTTGTCCCTGTCGGTCTGAAAGCTGGCGTCACTATACCCTCGCACCTTCAAGTCATCACTCCCTCCAAGGACTAAGAACCATTCTTTCGTCCTCCGAAGGTACTTAAGGATGTTCTTCACCGCAATCCAATGTGCTTTGCCAGGGTTCCCTTGATATCTGCTAACCATGCTCAAAGCGAAGGCTACATCAGGGCGAGTACAAGTCATAGCGTACATGATTGAGCCAACTGCGGAAGCGTATGGTACTCGGCTCATTTCTGCTATCTCAGCTTCGGTACTCGGACTTTGAGTCTTACTCAACTTGGCATTTCCTTGTATCGGTAGTTCTCCCTTCTTTGAGTTTTCCATACTAAAACGTTTTAGTACCTTCTCCAAGTAAGTATTCTGACTAAGTCCAATTAGTCTCTTACTTCTTTCTCTTACTATCCTTATTCCCAAAATGTAAGAAGCCTCTCCGAGGTCCTTCATAGCGAAGCACTTCCCGAGCCAGGACTTAACCTCCTGCAGAGTCGGGATGTCGTTTCCTATGAGTAATATGTCATCGACATATAGAACGAGGAAGCTTACTATACTCCCACTGGCTTTGACATATACACAAGATTCGTCTTCGCTTCGTACAAATCCAAACTCTTTGACTTTCTCATCGAAGCAAAGATTCCATCTGCGAGACGCTTGCTTAAGTCCATAAATGGACTTCTCAAGCTTACACACTCTATTCGGATGCTTCGGATCCACAAACCCCTCTGGCTGAGCCATGTAAACATCCTCAGCCAACTTTCCGTTAAGGAAAGCGGTCTTGACATCCATTTGCCAAATCTCATAATCATGAAATGCGGCAATTGCTAGCATCACTCTAATAGATTTAATCTTCGCAACTGGTGAGAAGGTCTCATCATAGTCAACTCCGGGAGTTTGAGTAAAGCCCTTCGCAACCAATCGCGCTTTATATGTGTGTACGTTCCCATCCACGTCGGTCTTCTTCTTGAAGATCCACTTGCACCCTACGGTCTTACGTTCGGGCACGTAATCAACCAAATTCCAAACTTGGTTATCGTACATGGATTGGATCTCGCTATCCATCGCCTCTTTCCATTTCGCAGACTCCGGGCCTGCCATGGCTTCCTTATAGCTATTAGGTTCATCAAGATTTACTAGTGTACCATCACTAATATACGTGTCCCCTTCGGTAGTAATATGAAAACCATAAAACTGGGGATGAACTCTAACTCTATCGGAACGTCTAAGAGGTAAGGATTCGTCAATCGGTTCAACCGGAGTTTCCTCCTCGGGTTGAACGCCAGCGGTAGAGGTTCCTTCATCTATCGATTCTTGAATCTCTTCAAGTTCGATTTGCCTCCCACTGTCTCCTTGGCTTATGAGTTCTCGCTCTCGGAAAACTCCTCTCCTCGCAACAAAGATAACATTATCTTTCGGTCTATAGAAGAGATATCCAAAGGAAGTTTGCGGGTAGCCGATGAAAATACATCGCTCACTTCGAGGTTCAAGCTTGTCGTGAGTATCTCGTCTTACGAAAGCCTCGCAACCCCAAACCTTGATATGTGCCAACGAGGGAGCTTTCCCCGTCCACATCTCGTGAGGTGTTTTGGCAACCTTCTTAGTAGGGACTCGGTTAAGGATATGGGCGGCAGTCTCTAAGGCATACCCCCAAAAGAAGATAGGTAGTGAAGCACGACTCATCATAGAGCGAACCATATCCAATAAGGTTCGATTACGCCTTTCTGCCACACCATTCAACTGCGGTGTCCTAGGAGGCGTCAATTGCGAAACTATTCCACACTCCTTGAGATAATCGTGGAATTCAAGACTTAGGTACTCTCCTCCTCGATCGGATCGAAGCATCTTGATTTTCCTGCCCAATTGATTCTCCACTTCATTCTTGAACTCTTTGAACTTTTCAAAGGTTTCTGACTTTTGCTTGATTAAATAGATATACCCATATCTACTATAATCATCGGTAAAGGTCACATAGAAGCGGTTCCCATCCTTCGTGGTTGATCTAAAAGGTCCACATACATCGGTATGTATTAGGTCTAATAGTCCCTCACCCCTTTCACAAGTACTCGTGAAGGGTGACTTAGTCATCTTTCCAAGTAAACAAGACTCGCATGTGTCATCTTCCCTAAGGTCGAATGACTCCAACACTCCATCCTTTTGGAGTTGGGCTATGCGTTTCTTGTTGACATGTCCAAGACGACAATGCCACAAGGATGCTTTATCCATACTAGTGGAAGAATCAATATTCAAAACATCATTTCCTAAGTTATCAACAATCATAACAGTTTCATATATTCCATTACATGGTATAGCTTCAAAATAAAAGACACCATTTAGATAAGCCAAAATAGAACCATTCTCATTATTAAAAGAAAATCTAAAACCTTGTCTATATAAACCATGAAATGAAATGATGTTTCTAGCCATTTCTGGCGAATAGCAACAATTGTTCAAATCTAAAACTAAACTATTCTTAAGCACTAAAGAATACACTCCAATCTTGGTCACAGGCGACGATCTTCTGTTCCCCATGATTAGATTGATCCTTCCTTGCTCCACATCCCTACTTCTTCTTAGTCCCTGCACATTAGAACAAATGTGATAACCACAACCGGTGTCAAGAACCCAAGAAATAGCATGATTAGAATCGTTAGATTTGATTGCATATATACCTGCGAAAGATGGCTTGATCTTTCCTTCCTTGATGGCTTGCAGGTAATCCGGGCAGCTTCTCTTCCAATGTCCTATCTTGTGGCAGTGGTGGCACTCTGCCTCCTTCGGGTTAGAGCAGGGCTTAGAGGGATCAACTTTGGTCCCACTAGAAGAGGAACCATCTCGGGCTTTCACCTTTCGATAGTTATTTGAAGAAGCTTTCCTCTTCTTTCCCTTCCCTTGACCAATAGCCAAGACAGGAGCAGCGGATGGATTGGGAGTTGGTGCAACAGACTTGTCCTTGAAATTGCTCTCAGCAACCCTCAAGAGACCTTGGAGTTTACTTAGAGTGACCTCCTCTTTGTTCATGTGGTAGGTCATCCTAAATTGATTATACATCGGAGGCAAAGAGTGAAGCACCATGTCGATCGCCAAGTCTTCGCCGAAGTCAACATTTAACTTGCGAAGGCGGTCGACATACCTTTGCATCTTTTGCAAGTGCACGGTAAGAGATTCTCCATGACCCATCTTGGCGGAAATCATGTTAGTGAAGATCTCGTAACGCTCTTGTCTCGCGTTTTGGTGGTACCTCTCCAACAAGTCTTGATGCATCTCGTATGGATACATGTCCTCGTAGGACTTTTGGAATTCGGAGTTCATGGTGGCGATCATGATGCAATGTACTTTCGTTGCATCTCGCTCATGGGTTTCAAAGGCGGTGATTTCAGCGGGAGTAGCAACTTCGGGGTTGATTTTCTCGAGCTTCTCGTCGAGGACATACTCTTTATCCTCATAGCGAGCAATGGTGCGAATGTATCTTATCCATTCGCCAAAGTTCGTTCCATCGAAGGTGACCTTTTGGCAAAGGCTCATCAACGTGAAAGAACTAGCAGCAGCGTTGTTTGCGTTTGACATCTATAGAAAGGACAAAGATAGATTAGAACAAGAATCCCTAATTATCACCCAATAAGAAAATTAGGGCTAGGATCCAACAATAACATTTACATACTAGAAAAGGGATGCCGTAATCTAACATGCAAATAAATTGAAGGTAAGTGAATGACGATTCACTAATTCTCCATCACAAAACTTAAACTTTTAGTCCTAAGTGTTTTTGAGAATTCCTAGGTTCGGATGAGATTCATTGAACTATTCAATGGCATGTTTAAATCTCGATATGCCCCTCTTGTTTGTGACTGGGATGCCGAGGATCACAAAGCGGGTGTGAATTACCATGCAAATTTACATGGTGCCTTCATTGTTACGATCACCTATTCGATGTGCCGGTAAACCACACACGCTCCATCGAACTATGATAAACAATGAATCACCCTTTGCCACCTTCGCTTAGAACCAATTAGTGTGCCGGTAAACCACACACGCTCCACTAACATCTTAGCAAGGTGCAAAGTGTAATTTCATGGGATTGCATCAATTCACTTTTCCTAAAGTAACTAAGATTGGGAAATTTAAAAGTTTAGTTACTTCGTATTTCTTATTATACTTTTAATGAGAGGATGAGGTTGCCCTATCCTACCCGTTCGGCTAACGACCCTCCACCAATCAAGCAAGCGGTGGGTGTGAGTGTACACCCATTAAGCGCCATTTTATAGGCCGCAACCTTATACCCACCTTATAGATCGGCTTCGTGAATGAGGCCTACTAGCGGTAAGACTAGCATTTAGTTATACATATATATATTATTCTAATAATATCATATAAGTATAGGGTTGTATTTTTAAACTTTTTCAAAATCTAGGGTTTGAAATTTAAGTTGTCTAAATTAAAGCTTTTAATCACAAATTTAAATTTCAAAACTATAGGGTAGGTTTTAAACATTTAAAACATTGAGGATCAAATAACAAATAATTTCAATTAACAATTAATATCTTAATTATCTTTATTTGATTTATCTTTGATTTCTTTGAGATAATTACCAAAAATAATTAAAACAATTAATTAATTATCATATAAAGAAACTAAATATTTAATTAGTTGATAATTACCTTTAACTAGATCAAGATAACACTTATATTTATCAAAAAATCGGATTCATATTGATCTAATTAGTTTATGGAAAGTTTGGATAAGATAAACACAAAGAAATCCCGAATTGGCCCTTCCTGACGCTTGGACTCGCCGAGTGCACAAGGGACTCGCCGAGTCAGGCCTACTCGACGAGTCCACCTTGGAACTCGACGAGTCAGTGACTCAAAACCCAAAAAATCGAATTTTGCAGGTTTGTTTCAGTTATTCAAGCAACAATTTAAAGAAAACCAATCTAGGCTCTGATACCACTGTTGGGTTTTAGCCATAAGAACTTTCCTATGTGCGCATGCAAAACCCTATTGCTTGGATCTAGGCTTTCTAATTAAACATGCTTTGAATCCAAGACTTCTAATAGCTAACATTAAAACAGATCTAGAATCATACCTTTGAGTTCCTTGTTGATCTTCTTGTCTTGGAGCTTCTAGAGTCACAATTGTCACTCCTCTAATGGCTTACAAACACCAATAGCAAGCAAGATGATTTAGGAGAGAGGAAAGGGGATGGAATTCGACCAGAGGTTCCTTGCTTTAGGTTCTACAATGTTGTACACGAATTCCACACCCCAAGGGCCTATTTATACCTTTAGACTCTTTAAGGGTTTCACCCTAAACCCTAATTGGATAATCTTCTCTTAAGGCTATCCAAATCCATTCCATAGATAACCCTATGGACTATTTTGAGCTATCCTAAAGCTCTTAGAAACCGTCCAAAGTCAACCCTAATGGATTTATAGTCCAAAGTCTAACTATCAAACAATTGACAGTTTATACCCTCTTATTTAATTAATCTCTTTAAGTCACCAATTAATACCAATTAATTTATGACTTATATTAATCAAATAGCTAAATATTATTCCTTATAATATTTACTCTTTCTTAACAAATCATCCTTCAAGTTGCTCTGGTGAAGGCAACCCAAAAGGACCATGCACCACCGAATATAGTTATAGCCTTAGACACTATTCCAACAAAAAATTTGACAATTACAATCAGCAAACAAAAAAACAGTTAAATAAATAACATTAAAAAAATTGAAACAGTAAAAAAGAAAGTACATTTCTATTTAACTGATTTTGATCGATAGAAGTACACAATGTTATCATTTGTTTAAGTGATTTATGGGTAAATAACTTAGTTAAATACAGTTAGAAATACACAATGTTATCATCAAAGCATTTTTTTGGTGATGTTCAATAACAAATACCTAATATTATTTAATGTTTATATTTGATGTCTAATATCATGATACTTTTATTTTTTCTATACACAAATAAATGATAGTACATTTCTATTTATTGTATTAATCCCGAGATTAATGTTTACTCCTTAATGAATACTTTGGAATTAAAGAATAAAGTCATGATAAGATGTTATATTATCCAATATTGAATAAAAATAGTCATTTAGGAGATAAAAGCAATGTTGTATAAAATCACTTCTACCAAAATCAAAATAACATAGTAAACCACATTATAGGAATGAAAAAAATAACACAATGTATATTCATGAAATAAATATAAAAACCATCAAATCCCAAACAAAAACCATTCAAAACCAATGCACCTAAAATGTAAATGGCTTAAGAGTCTATATTGCAGAAACAAAATTAACCATGAAGTAAGATTGTTTGTAAAAGTAAAATGCATTTACGTTTATTACTTGGGGACCAAAAGAGGTATTCGTTGTTCATCCGAAGGTGACAATCAAGCAGACTTAGATGCTGACAAATTCTCCATTTCATCAAGATCTATGCATGTAGCAAGGTTTCTTTTCCACTCAGTTGGTGTAGAAATCAATTTTGTAGGACTTGTTGCAGTTGATTTGTCCCTAGAACAAGGTATTAAATTGTCACCAATCTGTGAAAAAGAATCCTAGAAAAAAAATTAGTTAGTTGTTATACATTAAAACATAATACTTCAAATTATAATTTAAAAACCACAACCTTGACAACTTTTGTCTCTTGGGAACTAATATCTGAAGAACCAATCATGAATAAATCTGAATTAGCAGGTTGCATCATCAGATCAAAAACAAAATGCTATTGAGTCACGTATTGTTGGGTTAATGTGGTAAAAACTAAATATATTTTTTGAAAATAACGTGTGGAATAATATTCTTTTTTTCCAGTTCATCAATTATGTCTGCATTATTGGTTAATCTTGATATCCCATAGATATTACTTTTATTAGTGACATTGTAACTTGAGATATCAATCTTAATTTCCAACTTTTTTTCCACCACAACTTTCAACTCCATTGGATACAAATCCAAATTGATGCCAAGCTAAAATATGAATAAATATTGTTAGAAAATTTGTGTATAAATATATAATTGTATAACATAAAGAAGTAACTTAGAACTATAAAATAATATCTTCTTGTTTTTATCATACAACTCTTTAGTTGTATATTTAAACAACTTATTTGCTTCTTGATCAAATAAGGTTGAAGTCAAGGTTCTTATGTTGTCTTGAACCCGAAGTGGGATTTTAAATCTAAATAAAGTATAAAATCATATTATATTACACAATTATGATAAAAATATATTGTTTTTATATAAAATAAATATGTAATACCTTGGAATAACCGAAATTTTGATACTTTTGCAATTAGGATTAGCACATTCATAAGTAACGATTTCGGGCACTTCAAGAGAACCATCAACCTTATCAGTAGAAGACTCTTTTTGTTTTGGTGACTTTTTGCAGTTGCTACAAGCAATGTAATACCAACATATGTTTTGACGTATTCCCTTAACAGTACCAACAATAACTACTGTTTTTTCCTAGAAATTTAAATAATCTTTAATGTTAAGAAAATGTTAGTTTATGAAAGTGTATGTTAGTTTCGTTATAACAATATACTATGTTTGTTTCTTACACTTTTAAAATTTAAAAATAAATGTGCATTAAAGTAACAACTTTAAAAATAACGTAAAGTACCTCCAAAGGTTCAAACAAATCATCAATGTTAGAAAACATATTATTTTTCAGAAAGTCATCGTGTTCTGTGTCTTGTTGTGATGCCATCATTTTGATTCCACTTGATGAAAGTTGTTGTCCATTTTCAGAAACCAATTTGTTCATTTATAACAAAGAAATGAATTAAATTTATTATAGTATGAAAAAAATGAATATAAAAATACAAAGGAAATTATAAATGAAAATACTTGTTCTTGTAGCTTGTAATTTCATCCATATCATTGTTTATGAACAACCTACTAACATCAAAGTAGGTGGATGAAAAAGGATGACCTGCAAAAATATAATTTATTATTTAACTATATAAAAAATTTTATTAAATGGTTGTTAAAACTAATTACAAACCATTAATAAACTTCACTCTGGCAAATTGAACAATAACAACTACTGGAGCATGGTTGTTATTGTTAGCATGAAAATCATGCATGTAGTATGCATTATGACCCCACAAAGTTATCTTAAGCTTAGTATCCACGAAACAATAAACAAATATTGTAGATAATATAAAAGAAAGTATATTATTTGTTTGTAATAATGGTGAATACTCTATATCTTGAAGATGAAAGAGCATCTTGTGTTTCGATTTATCTTTTCCCGAGGTATCAATACGCCCATATTCAAAAATGTGTCCAATAATATCTACAAAAGCAACAAAATATAAGATTAAGTTAATAAGAATTATCAAATTGTAATAAAAAGGAAGAAAGTAGGATGTTATATAACAAAACTAAATATAAAAAGAACCAACCAAAAGAGTTTGACTCTAGTATGTTGTTAGAAATAATCGTATTGAAGTCAACAAAACAAAGTCATGTGCAGAACCAGAAAAGTTTTCACAATCCTTCACAGTTGCATTGTGATTAAAAGTAAGTTTTCTGTTCAGCAAACTTAAAGTTTGAAGTATTTGGTGCGACATTAGGTTTTCTAACGTATAATGAACTATCCTCTTTTAAATAGCACTGGAATTTAGGAAACCATTTCTTCAGACAAGATTCATGAATTTTCCTTCCCTAAAAAAATTAAAAAACAAAAATCTAAATATAATTGCTTACAAATATGAATAAATTTTTATAACGATAGTAATTGAATATATTCATTTTATACCTCCTCATCCATCAGAACCATTTCAATCGAGTATGTGTTGTATGCATCAAATTTTGAGTTTTGAGTCCAAAGACGTATGATCCGAACCTTAATTGTGAAATCATTATTGATTGAGTCAATCTCCTCTATCGAAGTAAAGTGTTCCATTGTACCTTGCGAGTTAAAAAAAAATAATAATAAAAAAAAAAAAAAAAAAAAAAAAAAAAAAAAAAAACTTGTATATTTAACGAAAAAATTAAAATATAAACAAAAATATCATAAAGCATTGATTGATTAAAGAATTCGTCATATAAATGTCAAATTCTACAATTCAAAACATTTAGGCAAGTAAGTTAGAATATAAAGAACACATACACTTGTTTTTCGCTGAAAGAAAGGGAAACTTGTAAACTTGACACTTATAATCAGCAACTAAAAAATAAAGAAAACATATAATTTAAAAAAGTTGAAATAGAAAAAAAGAAAGTACATTGCTATTTAACTGATTTTGATTGATAGAAATACAGAAAGTTATGATTTGTTTAAGTGAGTTATGGGTAAATACGTGGGAGGGGCAATTTAGGAATTGTATAATATTTAAGTGTGAAATTGAATAATCAATGATATCAGTGTCAAAATCATAATAATTAATAAATTATTTTCAAAGATGGCCTTCTAAAAATATGAAAAATTGTTTAAAAAGGTGTAATTTTTCTTATTACTTCAATACTTTAATGTTTGAGTAAATTATTGAAATTGTCCCTATGGTTTGGTCAAAATTTCACATTTGGTCCCTAACATTTTTTTGCACTCGGATCATCCTTATGGTTTGATTTTGTTGCGTTTTTCGTCCTTATGGTTTGGTCAAAATGGTACGTTTGGTACTTAACTTTATGTATGTAAGGGACGAAAAACGCAACAAAATCAAACCATAGGGACGATCCAAGTGCAAAAAAAAAAGTTAGGGACCAAACGTGCAATTTTGACTAAACCATAGGGACGATTTCAATAATTTACTCTAAATTTTTTAATAATACCTACATGATATCTGTTAAAACACAGGTACACAAATAAATGGTATGCAACAGTTAACAGAAATAATCCCCATATAGTTCAAAGTTAACATAATGTGTAAAAGCTAACATAAACAGTACTTGTTTTTAAAATTTGTCATAAATGGTCCCTATGTTTAAAAACTTACAAAAATGTTCCATATAGTTCAAATTTAACAAAAATGTACATTCTTTTATTAATATGTTAAATATTGTACACGTTTTAGTTTTAAATAAATGAGCAGAATTGGTCCATGTTGGAAAAAAAATAAACTGTTACATATATAGTCACATACACATACATTAACACACCCATGACATTAAGAAACACATACAAAGTAATAACTAAAAAAACAGTGACATACAATGTATTAGTTTTGAAAGTAATATGCTGTAAATTTTTATCGAGATATGAGTATATACATTGAATAAGGGGAAACAGTAAACTAACATAGTTGATTATGCTGTCCAAAACTAAAAAATTCGATGAGTATATACCCTGGATATAGGAAAAACACACTGTAAACAAAAAAATCTATGAGTATACCATCGATATATGAAAAATAGAGAGCAAACAATGTAGTCTTCTTACTCGAATGATTAATGTCTGATCTATGCGTAGCGAAACAGGAACGTAAACACGGATGTAAACGTGTATATATATATATATATATATATATATATATATATATATATATATATATATATATATATATATATATATATATAGGATTGATATTCGATTGCTGATTTATTGGGATTGATACTCAATATGCTGATTTATTGGGAGTGATAGAGTTTTACATTTATTTTCTGCCATATTTGTTGAATAATTATATGGTATGATTGACAATTCAAATTTCAAATTGCCTAATTTTCCTTAATAAAATTTTTACTGATTCCTGATGTGTACAATATTATTTTCAAATTTCAATAACTATGGACATGAAGGGAAAATTTGGAAATTCAGTTATAACCAATGGACGGGAAAACTAAAGGCTGAGGGGCTAAGGTAATGCCACGTGGCGGCTAACGGAATGTTGTATTAGAGGAGAAGATATACCATATAATAAACCTAGTATATTCATATTTAAATATTAGACGAAGCATTCACTTGTGAATATTAGGTGGTATATTCACTTATGAATATTACATAGTATATTCACATATGAATATTACAAGGTATTTTCACAAATATATATAATTTTTATATGTTATTCACCTATGAATAACATATAGACTTGCATATTTTTTTGTGTTTTAATAATCATATATTGATTCAGGTGAGAAAACATATTCATATGTGAATATAATGTGGTAATTTAGTTTATATATTTCATCAAACAATTGGGGTGCATACAAGTTAACTTTTTTAAAAATGTTAAAAACAAGATACTTTGACTATTTAAATCTTACAAAATAGTAGATTGATAGAGAATTATATGAAATTCTTCAAAAAAAAAAAAGAAACAAACAAACGATTTAATCTTTTTCTAACCTCAATTTTGAAATTTTATTTGATGATCTATATTGAATGAATGATATAAAGTGCATTTTTTTTTGTTGATTATCGATGATGTTGATCTAATGATGTTGTGAGTATAATTAATCGTATATGTTGAAGATTTGATCGTATTCATGTAGAATTGAAGGTTGGATTAAAAAAAACAAAAACGAATTTTTGTTGTCAACTGTTGAATGGTGTTGATAAACATGTTATTGACGAAGATCGGTGATGGATTAACACTATACGACGTTGATGAGGGTTTAATTGAAGAAATCTGGATGATTGTTGAAGGTTGGAGAAAAAATTTAAATGATGAACGATCGATTAAGAGTGGATTTGAACTGTTATCTAATTCTCTACAGTTATGTATTTGAGATTGAAGGTTATTATCATATTTACAAGTTTGCCACCGTGTCTTTTTATACTTAGATTAAATGAGTAGCTGAGAATGATTCCCTCATTCTCAACTTTTTTTTCTCAATTGAACCCTGCTCTCTTTCTTTCTATCTCTCTCTCTCTCTCTCTCTCTCTCTCTCTATATATATATATATATATATATATATATATATATATATATATACAATTTTATCTTCCAACATCAAATTATAACAAATACAAATTTTTGTAAAATTCTAACTAAAATTTTATCACTTCAATCCTTTTTATAAAAGCATTCTCAATAATACATTATAATTTCCTTTTTTGTTGTAAATACTAATATGTTATAAGGAAATTTCAAATTTCTGTCGTTTATAAATCATCCCAAGCCTCTTGCTCTAAACTCAAACGGATCATCAACATGGGGTTGTAGATATTAATTCTAAACTCAAACGGATCATCAACATGGAGTTGTAGATATTAATTCATGATAGTCATTTTTTTTTCTTATTTCTAAACTTTTCAGCCTTTTTTTTTAAACAGCCAAACATATAATAAAAAACAAGAAAAAGAGCACTAGCAATAAGCTAGTGAAAACCACAAAAACAATAATCATTGGATGGAATCAACGATATCACTTAGTCTAAAATTTCCCACAACAGCTACTTTGTCATTCCAAAATATCCAAATGCACCAAAGAGTAATGCACACAATTATATTGACTAAACTCCATTTTATGGAATTCAAAGCTAAATTATCTACTTCAACAAGAATCTCGACAACCAAATTAACATTTACCTAGTTAATTTCCATCCAGCTATAGCATTCCAAGTTCTTGTAGCCACTTCACAATTGATAAAAGGATGATCGAGTTGTTCGATTTCTAAAGCATAGATAGGGCATAAAGAAGAAGGAAAATCAATTCCTCGATTTACCAAATTGAAGCAAGTAAGAATCCTATCCATAAGAACTCACCATGTCAGAATATTCACTTTTTTGGAAAAAAAAAATTCCATCTAGTTTCCACCCTTAAGTTAGGAAGTGTCAACTCATCAATCTATCTTCTCGTCTTGCTAACAGTGAAA